AATGCAGCCCTAGCCACACCTACCCTGGCTGTGACTGGCATAGCCTGCATGAAAATTAATTTTTTTTCATTTATATCAGATGTAACTTTGGAAGTTTTTATCTCGTGCTCTGTAAATTAAACTTTAATTACATACAGGATGCTCCTGCAAGGTCTAGCAAGCTAATAACAGAGATGAAGATAAAAAAAAAAAAATATCTAAATTAAACATAATTTGCAATAATGTAACTGTAAACATTAGATGACTATTTCCAGGAAATGTTTAGGAAGGCTGTGCAAGTCACATGCAGGGAGGTATGACTAAGGCTGTTTAAACAATGCGGTTTATCTCCTAAATGGCAGAGTATTGAGCAGTGAGACTGTTCTTTACAACAAAACTGCTTAATTAATCTGAAGTTGTTTTGGTGCCTTTAGTGCCCCTTCAATTACTAAACAGCAGAGAGTAACTCAGAATGAGTAGCCAGCGAGAGTCTGACAGTATCAGCTGAATGGTGCAGTACTGTTCCTTTAATGTATATACATCTAAATGTATGTAAATGCTGATACTAGTATTATTGATATACTGGTAATAATTAAATTAGTATACAAATCAGTATATGCAATGAAACAAATCAGAAAACCAGGTGTCTATTTTTTACCAGAATCAAAAGGACAGACAAACTGAGCTACTGTATGGAGGAAGATAATAAAATAGATTAAATACAAGTTTAAGAAATAACCACCAAATGAAGAAATATTAATGCCTATGATTTTATAGGATTTGTCTTTATTCTTGCATGTACAATTAAAAAAATAAATAGAAGGTAATGTTTTTGTGTTTTTTGGAAGGGGGTGGGGTGGAAAATTGAAAGAGCTTTGCATTGAAAGCTTTTTTTTTTTTTGTTCAAAAAAGAAATCACCAACAAGGTGCTAAAAGTTTCCAAAGTTTTTTTATTCGAAATATGTGCTCAGGAAACAACAGGAAATCTGTTTGTCAGAAATGCATCTGATTTCCGTTTGGGGATATGTAAATGGGCAAATGATTACACTCAATATTACTAAACCTACTTAGGCATCATATTATGTATGAAAAATAATTAGAAATTAAACATGGAAGAAAAAGTTCTAAAAAGTAGTGCAAAGTAAGCAATAGAACATGCCAGCTGGTTTTACTGGTTTTTGTGCTGATTTCCTGCTTTTAGTACTTTAGGCCACTTTTTAGAATAGCACATTAAGTGCATTACCTTGTGTTATTTTTTTGTGTGTAAATCTCCCCCGTAGCATGGAATCATAAAAAAAATAATA